GGAATATTGGAGTCTCTGGGTTCTCCGCTTCGTCCCAGGAGTCCACAAGGTGCTCACGGCAGAGGGCTCCAGGGGACGGCTCTGGAACTGGCGGGTGAAGCCCGAGGAAAACCAGAGGCGAGTGGAACTCCGGGGGATGTCCCTAAACCCTAAACCCATTTGCAGCCGAAGGCTGGAGTTCTCCGATTGCGCAGCTGACATCTTTCGCAAGTGTGGCCTACCTGCTCGAACCTAAGCCGCTCTTTTCAGGATGCCAGGGGGGGCGATAGAACTTTGTTGGGAAGTGGGCCGCCATGGGTCGTTTCGACGGGAGGCGTGTTACTCTTGTCCTTTCTTCCTTTGGTGGTCCCCTCTGGTCCCCGCAATTGCCGGGGCAGGATTTCGATGATAATGAGAATATTGATATGGTGATCGCTTGGGATTTTCAGACAGCTCGTTTCTATTTTGATAGTACTTATAAGTAGAGTTATAAGCCCCCTAAATGGAGTTACCCCAATTATAACTCTACTTATAACCGACTTACTAAGTCCCCTGGGCCTCCAAGTAGAGCCATGAGAATCACAAGCGTTCAGAGTTGACAGCAGCATCCCGACCGGGGCCCGACCCCCTTCTTTCCAACCCTCCACCCAGAGACTCCAACATTCCTTAATTGAGGAATAGTCCTTAAATTATAGTAGGATCCTTAATATGACTTAAGGTATATTCCTTAATTAAGGGATACTTGGAGTCTCTGGGCAGAAACCCCCGGCATCCGAGCCTCTTTCCCGATGCGTCGGCCTCCGGGACTCGCCGGGACCCGACCTTTCGGGACCCGTCGAGGACCCATGGAGACTCGTCGGGGGCCCGTCGTCGAAAACTCGTTGGCACCCCCAGCCAGTCCTGTCAAGGCTCTTAAACCCTCTGATTGGATTGCTTAACGTGCAGGTTGGGATGGTGTCCCGGACCGGTCCCCCGACGGTTCGCGACGACCCAACGAGTCCCCGACCTCCCCCGACGGGTCCATGACCGGGTCCTCAGAAATTGGGCAAAAGAGTGAGTGTTTCACGAGGTGGGCGGAGGATGGGCGCAGGTGGGAGGGACGCGCCCAATCCCCGAACCATGCTTGGGGTGTGGCACCGATTTCTTTCATCGTCCGTCCGGGAAAGTGCGATTTCGGACAAGAGGAAACGCACCAGATGTACGCCATGGGTTTTGCACAGGAGTATGGGCCTATCTGAAGCATTCCAGCGCTTGTTCAACTACTAACTACTAACTACTCGCTACGACCTACTAGCTACTAGCCACTAACTGCACCTGCTACCTGTTTTTTTTTGACTTGCTGCTACTACTACTACTACTACTACTACTACCACTTCCACTACCACTACTACTACTACTACTACTCCTACTACTACTCCTACTGCTACTGCTACTGCTACTGCTACTGCTACTGCCACGACTACGACTACGACTACGACTACGACTACGACGACGACGACGACGACGACTACTACTACTACTACCGCTACTACTACTAC